GGATTGTCTGAGACCAGCCACCCGGACAGCTGATGAAACTGAGGAGTATTTCTGTCTGTAATGAATAATGAAGCCCTTTTGAGGGGAAAACTCATTCTGATTGGCTTGGCCTGGCTCCCCAGCCCAGTCATGTGAAATCCATAGATTAGGACCTAATTAATTCATTTCAATTGACTGATTTCCTTATATGAACTGTAACTCAGTAAAATCGTTGAAATTGTTGCGTTTATATTTTTGTTCAGTGCATTTGGAATGTATTCAGACCCCTTTACTTTTTCCACATTTTGTTAAAGCCTTATTCTAAAATGGATTAAATAGTTTTTTCCCCCCTCAATCTATACAGGAAATTTTTGCACATTTATAAAAAACAAATTAAAACATTTAAATATCACACGGACAGCTGATGAAGCTGAGGATTATTAGCTAACATTTTTAAAAACCTGTTTTCGCTTTGTCATTACGGGGTATCGTGTGTAGATTGATGAGAAAAAAAATATTTGATCCATTTTAGAATAAGGCTGAAACGTAACAAAGTGTGGAAAAAGGGAAGAGGTCTGAATACTTTCAGAATGCACTGCACATGGCTCTGTGTGGACTTATTCCCAATGTGATCTGGGCTGAAAGCATTTCAACAGACACAGTCTACTTTACTTTCTACAAGGGGTGAAGTCGTTCATACTGTGCTGTGAGTGAGTGAGACTACCATATGTACAACCCATCACACACACCTTTTCACTTTCTCTCCCATGATCCTCCGGCTCATCCTACTAACTAATCTAAAACTGGTATTCCCAGCGTCTCTCCCGCTCCCAAATCCCTTATTCATAAAAATTCTCCATTACTCACACAGCCACCAGGATCTATCTGGGTCGACCGGAGCAGAGCGTAGCTCTCCATTACTCACACAGCCACCAGGATCTATCTGGGTCCACCGGAGCAGAGCGTAGCTCTCCATTACTCACACAGCCACCAGGATCTATCTGGGTCCACCGGAGCAGAGCGTAGCTCACCATTACTCACACAGCCACCAGGATCTATCTGGGTCCACCGGAGCAGAGCGTAGCTCTCCATTACTCACACAGCCACCAGGATCTATCTGGGTCCACCGGAGCAGAGCATAGCTCTCCATTACTCACACAGCCACCAGGATCTATCTGGGTCGACCGGAGCAGAGCGTAGCTCTCCATTACTCACACAGCCACCAGGATCTATCTGGGTCGACCGGAGCAGAGCGTAGCTCTCCATTACTCACACAGCCACCAGGATCTATCTGGGTCCACCGGAGCAGAGCGTAGCTCTCCATTACTCACACAGCCACCAGGATCTATCTGGGTCCACCGGAGCAGAGCGTAGCTCTCCATTACTCACACAGCCACCAGGATCTATCTGGGTCGACCGGAGCAGAGCGTAGCTCTCCATTACTCACACAACCACCAGGATCTATCTGGGTCGACCGGAGCAGAGCGTAGCTCTCCATTACTCACATAGCCACCAGGATCTATCTGGGTCCACCGGAGCAGAGCGTAGCTCTCCATTACTCACACAGCCACCAGGATCTATCTGGGTCGACCGGAGCAGAGCGTAGCTCTCCATTACTCACACAGCCACCAGGATCTATCTGGGTCGACCGGAGCAGAGCGTAGCTCTCCATTACTCACACAGCCACCAGGATCTATCTGGGTCCACCGGAGCAGAGCGTAGCTCTCCATTACTCACACAGCCACCAGGATCTATCTGGGTCCACCGGAGCAGAGCGTAGCTCTCCATTACTCACACAACCACCAGGATCTATCTGGGTCGACCGGAGCAGAGCGTAGCTCTCCATTACTCACACAACCACCAGGATCTATCTGGGTCGACCGGAGCAGAGCGTAGCTCTCCATTACTCACACAGCCACCAGGATCTATCTGGGTCCACCGGAGCAGAGCGTAGCTCTCCATTACTCACACAACCACCAGGATCTATCTGGGTCGACCGGAGCAGAGCGTAGCTCTCCATTACTCACACAGCCACCAGGATCTATCTGGGTCCACCGGAGCAGAGCGTAGCTCTCCATTACTCACACAACCACCAGGATCTATCTGGGTCCACCGGAGCAGAGCGTAGCTCTCCATTACTCACACAGCCACCAGGATCTATCTGGGTCGACCGGAGCAGAGCGTAGCTCTCCATTACTCACACAGCCACCAGGATCTATCTGGGTCCACCGGAGCAGAGCGTAGCGGAAGGAGGAAGGCATTCCAGACTCCGTTGGGAGCAGAAATCTTTCAAATACTTTTAGCGTTTTCTCTTGCCTGCCTGGAGCGCCAGATGGGTGGGGTTTGCACTCCTTGAGAGTATTATATTCGTTCCATTGTGCCAGGTAAGCATATTCAAGCCCAGATAAAGTATTTGAAATGATTGCAAATAGTACTTGAACCCAGGTCCGGCAGGGAGTAGGGGGGTGGACTGCAGCCTGGAATACCTGATGGGTCTCTATGGATGCTGTAAATGAGTTAGTAGAATCTGAGATCTACTGGTTTACACTAGGAGTGTGAAAGCTATGCATTGTGTCAGTTGTTGACAACACATCATTACTGGAGGCGCCTGCAGAGACAGTTATTGCCTGGGCCGATCCGTAAAAACAACTGTTTATTTTACCGCTCTGTTTTGCTCGTCTCCAGCAAACCATATCTTTAACACTAGACTGGCCGGGCCTCAAGGCATCCCAGTTTAAGCCTTTGGGGCGTCAACATTCTAACGGCCTAATAAATACATTTAATATATGCTATCGCAAAAAATAATCATTTGGTTGTGTTTATGAAGGTCTTAAATATAATAATATTAGAATACAAAACACATTTCAAAGAACACAATAGCATTGTCATTAGTTTATGTTACAATTCTGTTAAGGCAGGTCTTAGGAAACATTATTAAAGTAAGAAAATTGATTTTAAAAAAGAACAGAACAGCATATATTAAGTTGTTTTATGTTACTAGTCTGTGCCCAGTAGCCTTGGCTATATGCTGCAGCGAGTGCTTAAGTGTGGAACACAAGGAATTGAGGTTATTCTACAAAAAAAAGTGATAATTTGAAATGGACCCCATCTGCTCAATTTTGAGAGTTGTTTGACAAATGTAGGCGTTTTTGAAACCTTAGAATCTGCTCTTTCCAATAGATTATAGAAAACGACCTGCATGAACTTCGGTAGGATTATTTGAAAAAAAAGTTACTTTTTGGTAAACTCCGTTCCCTTCTTTGTCAATTACCCACGCTGCTCTGCAGTCTCTTCATTCACAAGGCAATTTATAATATTGTCACCCATCAGACTATTGTCTATTTATTCTTGTCTTTAGGCTACATCTATTATTATATGTGTGAAATTAGTATCGATATAGTTTAGGTGTAGTTTCGATGGGCCATTGTCAGATGTAGCCAACTGTCGGGTGAAGGAAGGGCGGGGCGGGGGGGAATGACATCATCCTAAAACTGCGGTTTGTAAATTCAAATCAAAATTCTAACAACGTTAGTTTGTTAAAGACTTACTTAGGAAAAGTCAAGGGCTGAGGGGTCATGACAAAAAACGGCAGAGATATAATTTGAGAACCCAGTTTGAGTGTTAGATAGGTGTCCTATAGATGAAGATTAGATTGAAGAAAGAGAGAAATAGAGGGGGGGGGGGGGGGGGGGGGGGGGGGGAGATTATTGAAGAGGTCAATCCCTCCTTACCTCTACGATGTCGTCATCAAACAGGAGCCAGAACCCATGACTCTTCACTATGGTGATGTAATGACCACGGTTTGGACCACTGGGGACAGAGAGAGGAAAGTATTCACACCCCTTTACTTTTTCCACATTTTGTGTTACAGCCTGAATTTAAAATGGATTAAATTGAGATGTTGTGTCACTGGCCTACACACAATACCACAATGTAAAAGTGGAATTATGTTTTTAGAAATGTTTACTAATTAATAACAATTGAAAACTGAAAATGTATTGAGTAAAGTATTCAACTCCTTTGATATGGCAAGCCTAAATATGTTCAGGAGTAAAAATCTGCCTAACAAGTCACATAACAAGTTGCATGGACTCCCTCAGTGCAATAATAGTGTTTAACATGATTTTTGAATGACTACCTCATCTCTGTAGCCTACACATACAATTATCTATAAGGTCCCTCAGTCGAGCAGTGAATTTCAAAACACAGATTCAACCACAAACACCAGGGAGATTTCCCAATGCTTCGCAAAGGGCACCCATTGATAGATGAGAAAAATATAATAATAAGCAGACATTGAATATGCCTTTGAGCATGGTGAAGTTATTAATTACACTTTGGATGGTGTAACAATACTCCCAGTCACTGCAAAGATACAGGCGTCCTTCCTAACTCAGTTGCCGGAGAGGAAGGAAACCGCTCAGGGATTTCACCATGAGGCCAATGGTAACTTTAAAACAGTTACAGAGTTTAATGTCTGTGATAGGAGAAAACTGAGTCTGGATCAACATTGCAGTTACTCCACAATAGTTACCTAAATGACAGAGTGAAGCCTGTACAGAATCAAAATATTCCAAAACATGCATTCTGTTTGCAATAAGGCACTAAAGTAATACTGCAAAAAATGTGACAAAGAAATTAATTTATGTCCTGAATACAAAGTGTTATGATCAACACCCAACTTGACAGAGGATGAAGAATTTTAAAAATAATAATGTGCAAATATTATACAATCCAGGTGTGCAAAGCTCTTAGAGACTTACCCAGAAAGACTCACAGCTGTAATCACTGACAAAGGTTATTCTAACATGTATTGACTCAGGGGTGTGAATACTTATGTAAATTAGATATTTCAATTTGCAAACATTTCTAATAACATGTTTTAACTTTTTCAGTATGGGGTATTGGTTGTAGATGGATATTTTTAACCTATTTTGAATTCAGGCTGTAACAACAACATGTGGAATACGTCCAGAAAGTATTCATACCCCTTAAGGCACTGTACACATTTTAGACAGGAGTTAATGACCACGGCTTGGACCACTGGAGACCGAGAGGACGACAGACATACACGTTAGAGTTATCACAAAAGACTGCTGTGTGTGTCTATCAATCTGTACGTCTGTTCAAGTTCCCAGAGACACACACCCTCGCTCTCTGTCTCTCGCTCTCTCTTTACCTTCCACAGTGGACGACCTCGGCAACCAGGTCGTACATGCGGTCGGGGTTGGTGTGTGTGCGTGTGACCGTACCTTCCACAGTGGACGACCACGGCGACCAGGTCATACATGCGGTCGGGGTTGGTGGCGTCTCCTGAGGTGTTGAAGAGGCGGAGCTCCAGAGGGAAGACGACACGATAGGACAGCTTGGTGTAGCGATGCAACTGGTCCATGTACTTAAACCTCTTCAGATGTAATGCCAGGATCATAGGGAGCTTCTTCACACGCATCCTATATAATATAATAATAATAATAATAATAATAATGATGAACAATGTTAGATTTAGTAAGGCGGCAGGTAGCCTAGCAGTTAAGAGTGTTGGGCCAGTACCTGAAAGGTTGCTGGTTCGAATCCCAGAGCCAACTAGGTGAAACATCTGCCGATGTGCCCTTGAGCAAGGCACTCAACCCTAATTGCTCCTGTAAGTCACTCGATAAGAGCGGCTGTTAATTGACTAAAACGTAAGTGTAAAATGTGGTATTAGGGTTAATGTTAGGGTTAGTATTAGGGTTAATGTTAGGATTAGTATTAGGGTTAATGTTAGTATTAGGGTTAATGTTAGGATTAGGGTTATTATTTAAACCTCTTCAGATGTAGCACCATTATCGTCACACGCATCCTATTTATAATAATATAGAACATATTCATATTTGACTGTAGGATAGGATGGTGTAGTGATGCAGCAAGGAATTGCTCTTATGCTGTGTGTTTTGTTAAGTGTGCAGATATTTCTATTTCTTTATTATATTTTTGGTATCTGGAAAACGGCGGATGTACGCAGCTGACGCAGTACACTGCTTTTGGAACTAAAGCCTTTCCATTCCTGCACCACCCAAATGAAGTGGGCTTTTTAGGGGGGAGTAGACGCCTGGACTGTGATGGTTGGGGCCCTTAGTTGGGAGTGTTTAAGTATTCAACCCCAGATACACAGCACCCTTCACACGCCTCTCCCCTATTTCACCTAGAAATGTTGTGCGTATGTTTTCATATGTAGGATGTGAGCCATTTTTAAAAATCTACGTAGTTCTGTCCTTGAGCTGTTCTTGTCTATTAATGGTCTGTATTATGTCATGTTTCATGTGGACCCCAGGAAGAGTAGCTGCTGCTTTCGCAACAGCTAATGGGGATTCTAATAAAATGCCAATACACTAATGGAGACGATCAAGTGCACTTAACATCCGAACATGGACCAGGCCAAGCTACAGTTTGTACTTCAGCCAGTTGGTATACAGAGCTGTATTCAAAACTAACTACAAAACACAACTCACTCTGCAGCATCCAAGTAAAAACAATAATGCACTTTTCAAAACAGACCATTTCTCCTAGCAACAACAGTGGCCATTTTTGTAGTGTTAGCCTGCATTTCCCACCATCATCATCTATGTCAAATCCAACTGCTCACCTTTTCTGTGCTTCCTGTTTACTCCGACACTGTTCACAGTAGTACTTGTATTCACTACAAAGTGTCTCGGTGTTGCTGAAACCCCTGTGGAGGGAAGAAACAGAGATGGAGCATTCACAGTGACGTCACGCATGGAGTAACGAAGTGGACTAACACTTTCTCCAACTGAACATGTCTGTGTGGTCCAGGTGTGTGTCAACACACACACACACACACACACACAAACACACACCTACCTGAGACAGTGTGTGATGGAGGTGTTCTGCTCCACGTCGACAGACAGGTCCAGGAAGTCCTCATCTTTACTGCTCACCTGGACACACAGAGCCAGGCAGGACACTGGTTACATTAACTCTAAACACAGTACAGTATCAGGAAACGGCTCATGGCCCCATTGAATTCCGTCATTTCAAATCCAATAACAGTCTCCATTTTGGCTCTCCTTCTGCCATTAAAAGTATTCGAAAACTGGCACAGGCAGACATCCATTACAGCTCCTGGGCCTATTAATTTCCTTTATTTCAAATGAAATAACAGTCTCCATTTTGGATCTCCCTCTCCCATCACAGTATAGTATTTGGAAACTGGCATAGCCCAGCCTCCATTACGGCTCTCTGCCCCATTCATCACCCTATTAACAGTCTTCATCTTGGATCTCCCTCCACTTACAGCTTCACAGTTGAGGCAGCGCGTCTCGTTGGTCAGGGTTCCCTGGAAGATCTCGTGGACCCAGGTCTGCTGTGTCTTCTCTTCCTCTCCTCCTCCCGTCCCGCCCCCAACTCCTCCGTTCTGCAACAGCTTTCCATTCTGCTGGCTCTCCTGGCTCCTCTCCTCCTGCAGCAGGTCAGCGATAGTGTTGAGGAGGTAGTTAAGGAACTCATGGGCATCCTGTTGCATGTAGTTGTCAAACAGCTCTGGAGGGAGAGAGAGAGAAGAAGGAAGAGCTTTGAATCGTCTAAAATTGCTACATTTCTCCGATCTCCATCCTTCCCTCTCCCACCTTCTCCCCACCACTCCTTCCTTCCTCCCTCACCATTTTCTTTCCTCAGTCGTGAGATGAATTTCTTGGGAGGGATGACTCCCACCTTCTTCTTCTGCGTGGCGATGCTGAAAAAAATCCATTGCAACTTATTATTACTTATTTCTAAGTGCTGGCCTTCTGCCCCATGTTCTCTCTTTTTTGGTTCCACCCTTTAAATTTGTTTACGCAAGAGGATAAGAGTGGAGCTAAGAGTTCCGCATGTTCTCTCCCTGTACCTGTTGAAGAGGTCAGAAAGACAGGTGAGCAGTGACTCTTTACGTCTGGGCTGGACCTTGTAGGTCAGGACCTTCTCCCTGAACGGACGGCAGAAGTAGAGGGCCTGCAGCACCGAGTTACAGTAGCAGGTGTTCCCGAACTGGAAAAATTAAAATTAAAAATAAGAGAGCACGAAGAGTATTGTGTTACAATTGTTGGCAAAAGTGTTACCATGGTACTGTTACCATGGTACTGTAACGATTGGCAAATATTGTGTTGGTGCAGGTGCATGCTGTGAAACTTACGTTGACCAATAGCTATGGTTAATATTGTTGTGTTGGTACTTACGTTGACCAATCCAAAGTAGTGTTCATTAACGGGAAACTGTTCTGGTCCAATCTCCTTCTCCAAAGCAGAGGCATTGGCGCCCTGGAAGACAAAGTAAGTATTACATGTACATTGATTTTAGCAAGCAGACACTATGATCCAGGCCGTATTCTAGGCAGGCCAACCATCTCAATATCCACACAAGCTGTTTAGCATTCTTGGATAACTTGTCATGCATTATAGGCTATTAAGTATGAATATTGGGACAACGGGTGAATCGAATTAGGCTATCTGACCCCTGAGTTCGGCACATCTAAGAAGTTAGTATGCTTGGCTTGAATGTAGTATGCTAGTATAATTATTGGGACAACGCCTAGTTAGATTCTCTTTGGCCAGCGCTACACACTGCTCAAGTGTATCCCCACCCCATTTGACCCCTAAGTTATCTTTGCGATGTGCAACAATATTTCACAACCATTATGTTAAGGCTTTTACAGAGCATCAAGTGCACCATCTGCCTGGGACTTCACTAGTCCAGCATCGCGTTGGGACAGAAGGTGTGGACCCATGGAGATAGAACTGTCACAGATGCCATAACGGAACAGATGTTTGGTCCCCCTAGTACTTATTCATCATTACACATTTCCTAGGCATTCATTAGCATGCTCTCTACAGTCTATGGCATCGTTATATAGGAAAGGCAACAGCTGATTGAACGACAAAATATCTGTGTCTGTCTGTGACGATTCCATATGACTCAACAGATCTAGAAGATGCAGAGACAGACGGAGGACAGACCGCACACACACACACACACGGGTAAACTGGCTTGCTAACCCCCTCATCGCGCACTCTAAATTAAGAAAGGCTGTGTGGGAGAATTCTCCCTGATGTCCGTCATTCCTCTCAGCCAAATTACGGTTCGACTTAAAATCGGTCACCGGATTATACGCTTCTTTGCCAGTGAGTTGGGAGTCGATGTAAATAAATAGTCACTTGTTTGTCAAATGTGGGGAGCCCTGAGAATATGATTATATAACAAACTCAGGGTGGCACTCTGGTGTCTCGTTGCCTGGCAACTGATGTTTAGACAGAGACGGGAGGAAACTGGTTGAGTTGCATTTCGGGTGGAACTCCAGGTATTCCAGAATGATACAGCCAACCAGCACTCTGCCATTCCATAGAATTGAGCTGATGGCTACATAACAAACCAATTAAGCTTGAGCTAAAAAGCATTGAGGGGACTCGATTATCTGGCCCGGGTTACCCCGGTGGGAGGAGTTTGCACCGGGTCAAAAGTGATTACATTCGTTTTGGAAGCAGGCTCTCAGCTGCCCAGTTCTGGCTGAGAGCGAAGTTGGCTCAAAACAAAAAAGTGACGTAGGCTAGATTAAGCATGTGGAGTAATGAGTAGGATTCAGTGTTTTCACATGCAAACATAATCGCTCGATAAAAATGCTTTATCTGCCTTCCCAATGAAAACTGTACGGAGTAAAAAATAAATAAAAAAGGCAACATGTAAAGTGTTGGTCCCATGTTTCATTAGCTGAAATAAAACATCCCAGAAATGTTCCATACGCCACAAAACGCTTCTCTCAAATGTTGTGCACAAATTAGTTTTACATCCCTGTTAGTGAGCATTTCTCCTTTGCCAAGATAATCCATCCACCTGACAGGTCTGGCATATCAAGAAGCTGATTAAGCAGCATGATCAGTACACAGGTGCACCTTGTGTTGGGGACAATAAAAGGCCACTCTAAAGTGTGCAGTTGTGTCACAACACAATGCCACAGATGTCTCAAGTTGAGGGAGCATGCAATTGGAATGCTGACTGCAGGACTGTCCACCAGAGCGGTTGCCAGATAATTGAATGTTCATTTCTCTACGTATGCCGCCTCCAACGTCGTTTCAGAGAATTTGGCAGTACAGCCAACCGGCCTCACAACCGCAGACCACGCGTAACCAGGCCAGCCCTGGACCTCCACATCGCAAATCCTCACCTTCGATGGCCACCGGCACGCTGGAGAAGTGTGCTCTTCACGGATGAATCGCGGTTTCAACTGTACGGGCAGATGGGTGTAGTGTGGGTGAGCGGTTTGCTGATGTCAATGTTGTGAACAGATTGACCCATGGTGGCGGTGAGGTTATGGTATTGGCAGACATAAGCTACGGACAACGAACACAATTTCATTTTATCGATGGCAATTTGAAAGCACAGAGATACCATGACGAGATCCTGATGCCCACCGTCGTGCCATTCATCCACCGCCATCACCTCATGTTTCAGCATCATAATGCCCGGCCCCATGTCGCAAGCATCTGTACACAATTCCTGGAAGCTGAAAATGTCTCAGTTCTTCCATGGCCTGCATACTCACCAGACATGTTACCCATTGAGCATGTTTGGGATGCTCTGGATCGACGTGTACGACAGCATGTTCCAGTTCCTGCCAATATCCAGCAACTTCGCACAGCCATTGAAGAGGAGTGGGACAACATTCCACAGGCCACAATCAACAGCCTGATCAACTCTATGTGAAGGAGACGTGTCGTGCTGTATGAGGCAAATGGTGGTCACAGCAGATACTGACTGGTTTTCTGATCCACGCCCCTACCTTTAAAAAAAAAATAAAAAGGTATCTGTGACCAACAGATGCATATCTTTATTCCCAGTCATGTGAAATCCATAGATTAGGGCCTAATGATTTGATTTCCTTATATGAAGTAAAATCTTTGAAATTGTTGCGTTTACATTTTTGTTCAGTGTAAATCATATTTTTTTAAATTACATTAAAATAATGAGATGGTGTTGGTGGCTTCTCAAAACAAATCAAATGTTATTCTCATAGGTGTCCTCTCAGGTAAAGGCAGAATATTCCTCATGAGACAGAATCCGTTTGCATGTGGACCCTTCTAGAGGACAGAGGCGGTCCCTTCTACGTAGAACAGGGGCTATATTTGTCCCCTAGTTCAGTGGTCCACTAACCCGACAGCCTGATGTGAAGGAGATGTGTTGCATGAGGCAAATGGTGGTCACACCAGATACAGACTGGTTCTCTGATCCACAGCCCTACTTTTTTTTTTTTAAGGTATCTGTGACCAACAGATGCATATCTGTATTCCCAGTAATGTGGAATCCATTAAGGTCTAATTTATTTATTTCAATTGACTGTTTTCCTTATATGAACTATAACGCTGTAAAATCTTTGAAATTGTTGCATGTTGCGTTTATATTTTTGTTCAGTATAGTTTGAAAATTCGAACACATATTTTATGGAAAATTGGACGTTTCTGGACGATGTTCCTTGCTGCCTTGTTGACAACATGACCCAGCGGCGCAGATTACTGTTCGATTTGAGAAGGGCGCTCCTCCCTCATCGCTTTTGGCCATTCACATCACCGGCCATATCCCGGTGCACCGCCGCTCAGGTTAATATAAGAGCCAATTTATGCTTGATCCGACAATGTGGTCGGAGGTGACGCAATTGCGAAGCCTCCAGAGGCACACAGACGCCAACTTGAGCTCTGTACCACATCGCAGTGCGCCTCAAATTTTGTAACATGACTGGTTGACGGTAGATGGGGGCGGGAGGTCCTGTATAAACACAAACTCACTTCCTTGTCAATACCCTGACTTCTGCAGAGGCCAGTAAATACTGCACAGCCAATGCAGACGTCACACCAGGCAGCGCCTTTAACTCCCTCTGACCTCTGCCTTTTAATAATAGCTATAGAGCTAGCTTACTTGCTAAACTCAGCTAACTAACTACGTTAAAATCTTGTTAACTAGTCAGAGGAATGTTGTTGGCAAGCATCTGTTCAGTAGTAGCTGGCCATCTAAAATGTAGTTACTTGAAGTTGAAAGGTTGAGCAATGACTTCACTACTAGCTAGCTAGGTTCCAAATGATTTGATCAAATAAACGCCTACGATGACTGAGAAAGCTACATAGTTCGCCAAGTAACTGTCAAGACAGCTTTGTATTATTGATAACTAGCTAGCATCATCTCGTGGCTAGGATATTTGCTAACCAACTAGCTAATGTTAGCTAGCTTGTTAGCTTAACTAGATACCCCTGTTCATCCACCTTCAGAACAAGCCCGTGCAGTCTAGTGATCCCAAAAATACTGGTTCTTCTATCGGTGGTGATACATTTAGTTGTTGAATTTCAAGAGGGCAAAGTATCAATTACAGCCAACTATTTATTAAATGTTTGCTTAGAGATCTAGCTAGGTACGTTAGCTAGCTGGCTAACTAGCCAACTTTCTGGAAAACCTCAGTCATGTCCTGTTTAGCCAGGTTAGCTAGCATTAGCCAATTAGCTAGCTGCAAGGAGAACATCATCGCATAGGAAAGAACGAATTGTAAACAGAAAAAATACCGTACCATCGTACAAATCGAGGCGATCTTTCGGACTGTCATCAGTATTTCCATCCGTCTATCGCCATATTATTGGACCGAAACCCAATTTTAAAACGTTGACAGCCGCTACGGCTGTTGGAGTTCCGGGGAGACGCACCGTCCAGTTTGGGGATGAGGGAGTGTCGCTGGCTGGTTGATGCACGGTGCACTGCTGCCCAGATATACACTGTTTACTCATAGGCCAGTTTCTGGGCTCGGCAATTAGGAGGCGAGAACGAGGCTCGCAGTTTAAAGTGGAAGGATTATAATTGACGGGTCGTCGCGCAAATAATAAATTATAACAGGCTAAATTGTAGCCTAGTCTACCACTGCATGGTCATACAGAATAGAGGCAAAATGTGGAAATAGTTGGTTGAACTAAATTACTCTGTAGGCGTAGTCTATTTCCAAAAATATTTTGTTTTTAGCCTTCAATTCCAGCAATTGATTCAATGTACTCATTGAATTATACTTGACTGTCTTGAAATGTAGGCTAATAACCATTGGGGGAAAGACCCCCAGAAATGATATCCTATGCACCATTATGCTTGCCTATTCTATTCTAAACAGATAAAATGGCCAGATGCTAACAGGTCAGCGATTTGTAGGGGTTGTGCTGTCAGCAAATCTATGCTAGGCTACTCATTCACGCCCCCTTCGCTCTCATCCCACTCCGGTTTGTCTGACTCTTTTCTCTCACTTGACTAACAACTGCTCGGGAAGTGGCGGGATAGACTTGTCTACCCTTCATGGTTTATATGACTATTTGGTGCTCTGTCTCTGTTTAGTCTATGTGAAATAACGGTTCCAAGGATACAATCTACAGTCGGATAGCCTAACGTTCTGGGACCACGGGCGCCAAAATAAACTTGATTCTGTCCATTTGTTCCGCACTCAATGCAAGTGATCTACAAATGGTAGGTACGATTGTTTCGAGTAGCAGCCAGAGGAGACGATTATAATTGATGTTCTTATCGAGAGACAGTGGAATATTTTAGCAGTGGGGGACGAGAAAGAGACGAACGGCATTCCCAGACTGGACTCCTAAAAGGGGCTTCTAAATGCGTCTTCTTGTCGACCCACCGAGAACAATGAATAGTGGTTCTAGCAACTTTCTGCTAGTTCCAATACCGGAGTATCCCATTCTAGACTGCGTGCCCAACAAAAACGTTAAGATCGTGGTTTTAGGAGCGAGCAACGTCGGGAAAACAGGTAGGAGACATGGTTGATAACTTTTGGAGAAGTGCGCTGCAGCGCACCGTTAGAATCTGAAAACCAGAATCAATGTGAAAGAGTTATATATTTGAGTTGATCTATCAATTTTAGGCCTATAAGTAATTTTCCTATGCAAATAGAGAATGAAGGCTAAAATGAAAATAATTAATTTGCATCAGTTTGTGATAAACGGATTGGCTACATATCCTTTTATTATACAGACAATCCATGTCAATTTTTTTTTAAACAAATTGTACCTATTACTATTTCCACCTGTCATTTAGATCAGGGGTGTCAAACTCATTCCATGGAGGGCCTAGTGTCTGCAGGTGTTTTTATTTTCTTAATTTCAGTTAACACCTAGACAACCAGGTGAGGGGAGTTCTTTACAAATGAGTGACCTTTAATTCATCAATCAAGTACAAGAGAGGAGCGAAAACCCGCAGACACTTGGCCCTCCGTGGAACGACTTTGACACATGTGACTTAGATATTGTATTAGGCTATGTCTGTAGGATAGGCCTCTAGGCTACACACTTTCTTGTGTACCAGTTGGACAGCAAGTGCACTACATTTGACCAGGGCACATAGGGGTCTAGTCAAAAGTAGTGCACTATGTAGGGAATAGGGTCCAATTTGGGTCGGGATGCAGACAGACTGATGGGAAACTGGTCTATATGTAGCCTGCAGTAATCTCTATTGTCAACAATGAAAGATAAGTAGCCTGCAGTAATCTCTTATGTCAACAATGAAAGATATGTAGCCTGCAGTAATCTCTTATGTCAACAATGAAATATATGTAGCCTGCAGTAATCTCTTATGTCAACAATGAAAGATAAGTAGCCTGCAGTAATCTCTTATGTCAACAATGAAAGATAAGTAGCCTGCAGTAATCTCTTATGTCAACAATGAAAGATAAGTAGCCTGCAGTAATCTCTTATGTCAACAATGAAAGATAAGTAGCCTGCAGTAATCTCTTATGTCAACAATGAAAGATAAGTAGCCTGCAGTAATCTCTTATGTCAACAATGAAAGATAAGTAGCCTGCAGTAATCTCGTATGTCAACAATGAAAGATACATAGCCTGCAGTAATCTCTTATGTCAACAATGAAAGATACATAGCCTGCAGTAATCTCTTATGTCAACAATGAAAGATACATAGCCTGCAGTAATCTCTTATGTCAACAATGAAAGATACATAGCCTGCAGTAATCTCTTATGTCACTACTAACGCCAGGGTAGTGGGTTCGATCCCCGGGACCACCCATACACAAAAAAAATTATGCACGCATGACTGTAAGTCGCTTTGGATAAAAGCGTCTGCTAAATGGCATATTATTATTATTATTATTATTATTATTATTCTCAAGGTTTTTCTCAATGGACACTCTCGTTGTTTTATTCACAGCGTTGATAGTCAGGTTTCTGACCAAGAGGTTCATCGGGGACTATGAGGCAAACACGGGTAGGATTTGTATCATTCTCACAGTGCACATTCATATAATATCTGTAGTTTCACATTGTAATAACCTTGAAATAGCCACACACTAGTTTACTTATCTAAAGCCTCCTGTGTTAAAAAAAAAAAAAAAAACGGATCAGTACAAGGCATCCTAATGTGTTGCGTCATCATTAATTTGTTGCATATCTAGCCATAATGTGTAGTCAGTCATGTGTTGCTAATCTCTGTTTCCAGGGGCCCTTTACTCCAGAAAGATAAATCTAGATGGAGAACAGGTCTCACTGCAGGTTCAGGACACACCCTGTGTCTCTCTACAGGTAGGTCTCTCTCTCCACACAAGGCTGCGTCCCAAATGTCACCCTATTCCCTATACAGTGCACTACTTTTCACCAGATCCTTATGTGCACTGGGTCAGAAGAAGTGCACTACAATGGGAGTAGGGTGCCATTTGGGATGCCCATGTGTCTCTCTAGTCTAAAGGGAACTCCTAGTCCTCGCTACAGCCTAGGGGTCTATCTAACCAGACCTGGGCCAAATATAGGTGAAATACTTTCAAATGTCAAATCCTTTAAATTACATGCCAAGTCTCCCTTGGGATAGTGGTCTTCTAACCTCAGTGGGACTCGCTGGTTAAATAAAATTTAAAAGTTACAGTAAATAAAAACAGAGCCTATTTATGTATTTGACCCAGGAGTGGAAACATCTCCTCGTTTAGCGTTCTTCATTATCAGTAAGAAGATATCATGTGACAGTAGACCAGAGCCCCTATCCACAAAGCCTCTCAGAGTAAAGGCGCTGGTCTACGATCAGTTTTGCCTTTAGATCATAATGAATAAGATTATATGGGCAGGTTAGGACCTGATCCTAGATCAGCACTCCTACTCTGATACACTTTGTGAACATGAGCCTACAGCCAGTATCAGGGCATATCTCAATGATCTTTCTCTACTCTCTGTAGTGGTTTTGATGATTTCAGTGACTCCCTAAGGTAGTCTCCCATTCATTTATCAAACTCACTTTGAAAACGAACCACCTGTTCAAAGGCCTGGTCTTGTAAACAGACTACAATCTGAGGTAAAGAGGGCGTTCTGTCTGAGGTAAAGAGGGCGTTCTGTCTGAGGTAAAGAGGGCGTTCTGTCTGAGGTAAAGAGGGCGTTCTGTCTGAGGTAAAGAGGGCGTTCTGTCTGAGGTAAAGAGGGCGTTCTGTCTGTCTGCTCCATAATCGCAGAATAATAACCATAAGCAGGCTTCTCATAATAACACTAATAAGTGTAGGAGGGTGGATGAAAGCATCACTAGCTACATCAGTTTGTACCAGTGGGTTTTGAGTATTATTGACAGACAGATGTGACATGCTATATTGGGTTCCTGAGTGGTGCAGCGGTCTAAGGCACTGCATCTCAGTGCTTGAGGCGTCACTACAGACCCCCTGGTTCGATTCCCGGCTGTATCACAACCGGCCGTGATTGGGAGTCCCATAGGGCGGCACACAATTGGCCCAGCGTCGTCCGGTTTTGGCCGGGGTATGCAGTCATAGTAAATTAGAATTTGTTCTTAACTGACTTGCCTCGTTAAATAAAGGTTAAATATTTTCATCCTTTCTCCCCTCCAGGACGATGCAGAGGGGCTATATTGTCAGGAGCAGATCAACAGGTCTATCTACTGGGCGGATGGATACGTCCTGGTGTTCTCCATTACCGACCACAGCAGTTATAGAACCATACAGCCTCTTTACCAGCATGTCAGACGCATCCACCCTGCAGGGAACATACCTGTTATACTAGTGGGTTTGACTGTTATATTACATATATTTGTAATGGGAGCTTGATGTTTTTATTATTATTTAACTGTTCTATTTAAGTCACCCCGTATGTCCTTGTCATACTGGTGTCTTCTGTAGCTCAATTGGTAGAGCATGGCGCTTGTAACGCCAGGGTAGTGGGTTCGATCCCCGGGACCACCCATACGTAAAAATGTATGCACACATGACTGTAAGTCGCTTTGGATAAAAGCGTCTGCTAAATGGCATATATTAGATAGATAACCTTTGTTTTATCAGGAAGTATTTCTGGACATCGCCTTAACATTTCTCTAATCCTTCTCTCCTCTCCTCCCAGGTGGGCAACAAGAATGACCTCCTCCGTGCCCGCCAGGTGCCGGCTGACGAGGGCGAGACGTTGGCAGCCTCTCTGGGTGGGCCGTACTTTGAGGCGTCTGCCAGGGAGAACCACGAGGGGGTCCACGCCGCCTTCCTGCACCTCTGTGGCGAGGTGAGCCGGGCGCTGGGCGGGGGTAACGGGGAGAAGAGGAGAGGGGGGCTGCACCTGGCCCGGCCCAAGTCACCCAACATGCAGGAGCTGAAGAGGAGGTTTCGACAGGTGCTCTCCTCTAAGGGGAAGTCTTCCACTAACACCCTGTGATGATGATGATGATGATGATGATGAGAAAATACTATTTTTTTTAGTTCGAAAGGTTCTGGTTCCGGAATTGGAATTCTGGATTGAGCCCAGTTGACTCTCCTGTGATGTCATTTCGTTGGAACAGTGAGAAGAGAGAAACGGTTCTGGATTGTATTTATTTGGATTGGAATGGAACATTAAGATAAAGAGGTGTATATATTCCCCTTGTGGAAGGAATGACACAGAGACAGCAAGACTTCCAACAGAGTGGCTACGTGGTATGTCATGTCACAAGCCTTTCTGACCATCCAACCAATGGTGACAGAGGAGACTGAAATACTGACTTTGACTGACAAGCCTAACGGACCAATCATAGGCTACTCTGAGATTGCTATTCGTACTGAGCTGTCATGCAGTAACCTACTCTCCTTGCTACTGATACATCTGAAAATGTACTGTACCCAGAGGCCAAAAAAAACAATGACTGCGTCCAAATGGCACCCTATTCCCAATTTAGTGCACTACTTTCAACCAGGGCCTAAGTAGTGCACTATGTAGGGAATGAGTGCGTTTGAGACGTTACCTATATATTTTCAAAATGAAAAACATGGACAGGCCATGGTTAATTAAATATCATTGCTAAATAAACGCGTTCAACCACAGTCCTTGACATAATATGATATACCATTTAGCAGACTATTTTATCCAAAGCGACTTAGTCAAGCGTGCATGCATTTTTATCTATGGGTGGTCCCGGGAATTGAACCCACTACCCTGGCGTTACAAGCGCCATGCTCTACCAGTTTAGCTACAAAGGACCATCCTGGTCGGTACTTATCTGAACCAGCCTGATTCCCTCTGAACAGTCCCTAACCACAGATCTAGGATCAGCTTACCCTACCATTAGGATTAGCACTAGCTGACCAGCGCTTATAGGGGGAAACTTAAGCCAAACCACTGTCAGGCCTAGGGTTTCTGCTTGCAAAAGTCTGCTAACTTTTCTTACATTTCTGGGTTTTCCAGAAATCCCGGTTGGAACTTTCCTGGAATAAGGAGAGAATCAGCAGGACATTTGGAATCCTTCAACCAGGATTTCTGGAAAACCAGGGTATTTTGTGAAAAGCTACCGTAATTTTGCCACCTTAGGCCGGCCCCTTTAGGGAAAGATATGTGCAGGCTCCATTTTCGACGGATGTATCTTTCTGGCTGACTTTTTAATAAGAGGCCAGAGAGGAAGAGACATGGGCTGTGTTCCAAATGGTACCCTATTCCCCATATAGTGCACCCATAGGGTTCTGGTCAAAAGTAGTGGATTATATAATGAATAGGGAGCCATTTGGGACTCAACCATGGAGAGACATGTGAATTTGAGTTCTCATGACCTTTCACCTCTATCTGCTGTGTCAGAGTTTTGTGGAACACACCAGAGGTTAGGGAGCGCCCAGTTCCCCCAGACGCCCACGGATACACACACAACGACGCCTGGGGCACAGGGTCAGGGTTAGGGTTACTGGGGCACAGTGTTCCACAACACATTCCTCAGCATCTGGAATCTGGTCGTTGCCCCCAACCTCCTCCATACAGACACACACACACACCCCACAACCTTTTAACCTCTGACCCCTGACCTTTGACCTATCAAATTAATCAGTCTCAGTGTGTGCCAGTAGAAGGATTCATTTCACTATAGTGGCTGAGTATCGCTTTGCTGGGTCATGTTCAGTAGGGACAAAATGGACTTAAACAGGTATGGACTACCTGGACTTGTCCAATAAGAAATACACTTTTCTTTTTTTTCTGCAAAGTGTTTTAAGCCGTTTACCTTTGAGTGCTCTATTTAACACAACCCTGATGTTTGAGATGTAGTTTAGAAATGCTAATAAAGAAATCTGAACTTGTGTGAAGTCAAAAATGAGAGAGCAGTAATTGACCTCATTCTTCAACCATTTTAATTTTAATTTCCTTCTCTTCCTGTCTCTCAGCATCTAAACTCCCCGACCCCTTGTACACAAACATACTCACCACAGCCATTATAAAGACCCTCTTCCGGTATGCCCCTGGCACCAGAGCCCTCATTCCAGCTATCCTCCCAGAGCCAACAGTCAGCCCCCACTGAAATACCACAGTAGGACTTATCAACCAATAATGATGCCTATGTTACAAATAGTAACAGAAACACTTCATATTTACGTTTTTGTCCCAAATGGCACCATACACCCTATATAGTGAACTGCTATGGGCCCAGGTGGCCAAAAGTAGCACACTATATCCAGAATAGGCTCTGTTCAAAAGTAGTGCAATATGTAGGAAATAGGATGCCATTTGGGACTTACACTTATTTCCCTCCAAGTATGTCTGAATACCTACCAGACGAGCCAGACAGTAGCAACATGGCCCCAGCCCACCATAGAAGAAGAGCTCTGACAGTAGCAACATGGCTACAGCCCACCATAGAAGAAGAGCTCTGACAGTAGCAACATGGCCCCAGCCCACCATAGAAGAAGAGCTCTGACAGTAGCAACATGGCCCCAGCCCACCATAGAAGAAGAGCTCTGACAGTAGCAACATGGCCCCAGCCCACCATAGAAGAAGAGCTCTGACATTAGCAACATGGCCCCAGCCCACCATAGAAGAAGAGCTCTGACAGTAGCAACATGGCTCCAGCCCACCATAGAAGAAGAGCTCTGACAGTAGCAACATGGCCCCAGCCCACCATAGAAGAAGAGCTCTGACAGTAGCAACATGGCCCCAGCCCACCATAGAAGAAGAGCTCTGACATTAGCAACATGGCCCCAGCCCACCATAGAAGAAGAGCTCTGACAGTAGCAACATTTCCCCAGCCCACCATAGAAGAAGAGCTCTGACAGTAGCAACATGGCCCCAGCCCACCATAGAAGAAGAGCTCTGACAGTAGCAACATGGCCCCAGCCCACCATAGAAGAAGAGCTCTGACAGTAGCAACATGGCCCCAGCCAACCATAGAAGAAGAGCTCTGACCTCTGAACACAGCTCTCTGCAAGTCTTGTATTATCTCATTCTTGTATCTCAGAGTATCTTCCTGAGGACTCTCACAGCACAGAGGGCCAGACCTGTGATGGATATCACTGTCTGACGGAGAGAGGACTAACTGTTCTCCTCTATTATTAGTTGGGCTTGGCACACAGTGGAACACACACACACACACACACACAGAGGAAAGGAATGAATGGGAATCCATGAAAGCCTCTGGTTACCAGTTCCCACATGAGCAGAAACACACTTGTCTGTCTTGCATGCATAAATACACACAGAAGGTACACAAGAACACACACATCCCGAAGGCTCACTATTGAACGATGAACATAACCCCTCCTTCTTCCCCCTTTCTTTCTCTTGCACACACAGACACACACACACAGACACATAGCTACACACATTTTTACATGACATTTTAGTCATTTAGCAGACGCTCTTATCCAGAGCAACTTACAGTAGGGAGTGCATACATTATCGTACTTTTACGTATTGGTCTCCGGTGGGAATCGAACCAACAACCCTGGCGTTGCAAACGCCATGCTCTACCAACTGAACACACAGACACGCACACTCCTGTCTTTCTGTCTGTCTGGTTCCCTCTCTGAGCTCCAATCTACCTGGGAAGTTGAATGGCTTCCATATGCTGTTTTACTAGGACCACGGGAGGAATCATTCTGTTGTGTGTGTGTGTGTGTGTGTGTTAGTGGAGATTGCTATGTATGTCAATTTTTCCACGCCAGCTCTGTTGATCTTTCCCCTCCTTGTTTCTCACGGGGTTTGACTGTGTTTGTGTGAATGTAACAGTCTTTGACATGGCCTGATGATGGATAGAGTCCTGTTTGTTGTTGGATTTCTCTTGGGACAGCAGTGGAACTGGGAGGCTTGGTTGCAATTAGTACCACTAAGAAAATATTACTGAAATGGTACAACGATAAGTTACATTTTACCAATGTATTCACTGACTAAAGTATTCAATAAAGGGCTGATAAAGATCATTTATATCCCCACAAATTACTTTCAGAACATAACACAAAAAAGCGATTAATCATTTGCTCTCAAGCATCTCAAAGAGGGTGTGTCCATGCGTGTGATGACAACCTTCTCCTTCCCTGTTGTTGATGATCTCCTCCATCATCCTCCACTGGACAACTCTCTCCTGTCCCTCACGTCCCACCACCACCGCTGACAACAACATAACCAATGAGATCACTCCCTTTGACAGATTAACCATGTT